CTTCCCACTTTCATTTCAGTGAAGCATTAAATACACAGAACACACACACACAATTTGGTAAACTTGAGATTCAAAGTTGTAGAGAAAAAAAGGTAACACATCCATTTTATTTCTGAAAGACTGAAGTGGACTGCTAAGTACTGCCATCTTGCTTAAGTAATGTCAGATGCAAGAGCAACTGGGAATAACAGTTTAAAGGTTAATATTGTTACAATTGATATGAATCAGTGCATTCTGTTTATGCAGGAGAGGACTAAGTGGAGTTTCAGATCAGCACCATCTCTACAGGGCTGGAAGAGAAAGCTATCTGTTGAAAATGTGTATGACACTGTTGAACTGCTATTGAAGCCTCAAAGAATGGTTACCTAAACATTTACATGCTGTCAGGCAGTTAAACTCTACTAGAAAACGCCTTTTTTGGTTATACCAACATCTGTGTTTAAGTCACTAGTAGAAAAGTTTACCAGCACTTAGAATCAAACAGCCTTAGTAGGCTTAACCGTTATTCAATGAAGATGCAACATCCAAGATTAAAATGCCTACAGCAATTCAGAGCAAGCAGTGTTTCAAACACGAGATAGTAATGCATCACTTTAGTCAGTGCAACAGATTAGAAAACTGTGTTCACACTACTTAACATACTGTACAAGGAGATAAGCAAATAGTAGAGAGGTCCAAGAACCACTAATTCCTCTATTTGGCTTCAAAAAATAATTTTTTTTTTTTTTTTTAAGTATTCAGTTTATTTACATTCTTCTCCTCTGCTTGTAAGTAAATGAAAAATAAATGCTTCTTTGCATACATTATAAAATTAAGGTAGTAATCCGTCTCCAGCAATGTATCTTGGAAATGGAATGAAACTATCCTGAAGCTCTAAAAGCTGGTGGTATGAGAAATGCTGATTAGAGCTCATCTCTCTCCTGTGCATGCTGTTTTCCCACACATTCGGAAGCAAAAGGGCAAAATCTTGAAAGCATCAATTTCTAATTAATTTTACCTTTTTAGGCTTTCAATCAGTTGTAAGTTAATGCCTAACTCAAGCTGGCATCCATAAATATCATAAGAAAACTGAAGTCAAGTATCCTTGGCTTCATCATCTTCAAGGCTTCCAAACAAGGAACGGTATTCTTACCATAACATTATTACCTTGACTATGATGGAGAATCTTCCCTCTTTCAGCAAATTGCCCATCAGAAAGTGGAGGATAATCTGCTACCTAGGTACCAGTGAAGCAAGGAAACAAAAGTTGACATATGACATGCCTGAAATTGCCAATGAATAATTTTAAATTCCATCACTGAGCAGGGAAAAAGAATCAACTGTTTTAATGTCAAAGTCCACCATAAGCTGGTCAACAGCATTCCCCATGGCAACTAGAAATGCCTTTCCTAAAATTTTTACACTATTAGGAAAAAAGTGTCACATAGCTTTAGTAAGAATTGTGGAAAGCTTTGGGTTTGTTCAGTTTTGGAAGAATTGGGGTTTTTTTCTTCTTTATATAGAACCACTTGACACTTCTTCCTTTTACAAGTGAAAGACTTAAATGGTAACCTCTTCAGGGAGAAGCCTTTTAGGCAGTTTACACAAAGGGGCTGCTGTCCTGACAAAGGAGACTCTAACAAAATATTTAAGAAAGCAAAGATCCTCATCTTCTGAAAAATACTGGAGAATTTAAAATAGAACATGGATTTTAGCTACAAAAGCTCAAAAAAAAAAAAACCAACAACCTCTGAACACAACCATTCTGAGTTTAGAGCTTAGGAAGTCCTCAGCTATTTAAGGACGATGACACTAGATGATTGTCTCAAATGAATGACATGTCTTACAGAAATCCTAGTGGTTGGAATGCTGGCTGGACTCACTGACTGCCAGCCAGTTCAAGTTACACCGTTAAGCAAATGGAGAAAAAACAGAGGACCTTTTAAAGCACATTGTCTCACTTCTGAGATGTTGACATATGCCAGGTACTTCAACATTAAGACTGGACTTGATGTTTGCCAGTGAGGATCTACCTTAGAGTCAGTGCTCGCAACATACCTTAGTAAAAGGATGCTAACAGTTTGAAGATGAGCATTTCTACAGTAGCAGTAATAGGAGCAATGCAAGTCACTTAGACTGTGGACAAATTTACGTTGCAAGATGTGCAAGGGGTCTATTAAAATAATTAAAAAACCCAACTCTATGAACTTAAAATTACAGTTTGTGCTCTAACATACAATACTCACCACTTCTGATCATATTAACTTAAGCTTTTAGTTCTATAATATTTATTAAGTAGCAGCTATAAAGTTACAGGACAGCTGGTGATAAACTGAGTGTTGAGAGCAGTCTGTGCTCCAAAGGTTTGCCATTTTGAAGCCAAAATCTATCACTATGATAATTGCATCTGATTTGTTTGCACAACACCGTAACGTATTTTCTTCCAGAAGGCAGTTAAATTGTGTATTTTAAAAATATACTTAACACTTAAGCTCACAGTCAATGAAGAGTCCAACACCTCCTCTACTTCAATTTTTAGTTATACTTACTAGAGAAAACGGAATTTGTCTGTTTTGGCTTTTCAGTATTTGAGCTTGCCTGACTTTGATGTCAGGATTAAGAAGTGTTGTCCTCCCACTCCTCAGTACCAGGTATGTTTTTCCATGTGTAAATGTTTACTCTCCAGTATCAAAATGCTGCTTCATCTTCTTTGGTAATGATAGAGACAGAGTTCCTCAAACCTCACACTGCAAGATCTACTATCCAGCCCCAGATCCTACTTTAAACTCAATTATTGCTATAGCCTTCTCAAGTGCAGACATCAAAATTGAACATTTTTCTGGTAGTAGTCTTCTCCATGCTGTTTGGGAGGCAAAATAAGTTCCCTACTTTTATGTATTTTTTCCCTTTGCACATGTTCAAGTACTTCATCAGGCTTTTAACTACAGCTCTGAAGGCTCGGCATTGAGGTGGTTCTCAGGCACAAGTCTTTTTGCATCGCTGGTTTTTTTTGTCTACAATGTACAGAGTGTACAATCTTTGTTCAAAGAGACCATTGTTACCTTTTTTGCAGCTATAGCTGTTCAATCTGATGATCCAGAGAATAATGGAATAATATCATGTTCTCATTATTTTCTACTCCACCAATTTTTCTCTTCTCCAAACTTTACCAAACAGTTGATTCCTCCTACACTTTTCTGTATAGATGACGTACAAGGATTCTTTGTTAGACAGTAAAACTCTGGATTCCTTCTGTTCTCTTAAGGAATTAATCAATGTACCAAGACTTTTAAGGTACTTCCACATGTAAGGTCTCCATCCCATTTCCTAACCCTCCTCTTTTGACCGCTTCACTAGCCACAGTAAATGCTTCTGTTAACATCACCACCACTTCTCAAGGACTGAACTAACACATCGGTTATGTACGGTGGAACCTAAATAGAAAATGATAGAACAGGCATGTATCACTTGATTTCAATTAGCTACAGGTTTTAAAGGCTCCTTACTAGAAAAAAATTTAGGCAGTCAGTGAATTAATTCTTTCATACAGTACAGCATGTACATATTGGCAAGAAGCGAGCCCCTAATCACAGGTGCCTGGCAGTGGCACCTGTTACTGAGGCAACTAGAATACTCCTATGGAAGAGCTGAAACTATTTAGTCATCACTGGGTAAATTGCTTGTGTTCACTAGAGCAAGAAGTATTTCTTTGGAATGTACCTCAAAAGAAATTCCTGCTCAGTATTAATATTTTCAGACAAACTGAGTAAAAGGCACTGTTGCTCAAGCAGTACATTTGTTGTCTCCAACTGTTTAAAAAAAATAAAAAGATGTTTTTGAACAACTACCTACTGTTGCCCTAAGAAGGCTTCCTCGTTACCGCGTAGTAATTTCATCTCTCCCTATAAAAGCTTAACATAAAAATTGCTTTTATCTGAAGCACGTCGAGTCTCACCTTTATATCTATCTTGATATCTAAAATTATGAGTTAATATAACAGTATGCATTATAAAATTATACCATTTACTTCAGACATGTCTGAACAGCTAAATCTTCAAACTCTACAAAAATAAAGTGTATGAAATCTTACAAAAGGAGGACATTAAGACATCAATAGCTAATCCAAAAAATATAATAACTTATACACAGCAGTAAGCATAAGCAATGTAGCCTGCAACAGCTTTCAATTAACAGGACCTATGAAACATGTCTGAAACAAGCATCAGCTAAAATTGGAACATTCCCAAGCACAATAATGTTTCCAATTTATTATCTTTACCACAGTACAAACTTTCAGAAACCAAATGTCCATTGTCTGTCAGTCTGTAAACAAAAGCTACTATCCCCCCCTCCTCATTTTAAGAGGGTGAGTAATTTTCAGTCCCCAGTCAAGTTTCATATCCATCATTTGCATAAGAAATCAAGAGCCTCTTCTCTTGTTAAATTACTTTTTTCTTTTTTTTTTTTCTTCTTTAGATGTTTTTTTGTTTTGTTTGTTTGTTTTTTTTTTGTCATACAGCCTGCAGTGAAGTAAAATCACAGTGAAAGTCCTGGGAAAAACATGATCTTTACAGCAGGACTTGAACCATTCTAATAATAAATGCATCTAACAAAGCTTCCCATAATAAAAGCATGGCATTTCCATTTCCAGAAATGAAGTCAATTAGAAATCCTAAGTTCTACTTAAAAACCCCAAAAGATCTAAAAGTGAAAAGATTCATCTTCTCAGACAAATACAAGTCTTTCAGTTTCACTTGCAGAGAGGCTTTTCCAGTCTGTAAAACAGTAGTGCAATTCAATTAGTTCTACTTCTTCTATTTTTCCTAAAGTCCAGTAGATAAATGTCCTAGCTCTATGGAAAGATAGGAAGATGCTCCGGTAAACAAGAAACTTTGGCAAGCCCAGGAAGGCTTACTAGTCCATTAAAGCTCAGAAGTCCAAAGTGGCTTAAAAATGGTTTATGAATAAACTAAAAAAACCCCCAACAAAACAAAATAATAAAAAAACCCCCAACACTAAAAAAGACAAACTAAAAAGAAAAAAGAAATAAATAGGCAGAAATGAATGTAAACTGTCCGAACTTTTTAATGATTTCTCATTGACAGCTGGCACGACCTTTGACAGTACAGTCATTTAAATATAGTTGACCTATAGAGCATTCCATTAGGGCAACCAATCTGGAATGCTCAAATGGACTTACATTCCTAAAGATTTAAAAAAGAGAGTTCTTATAACATCACTATAGGTTTCTTCTGCCCACCTCACTTACACTTCTTCTTAAAGAGGCTTTTTATTTTCGATGGCTTTTTGGTTTTTTCACCATTTTGGTACAGGTCCTGTGGGATGCTACTTATCCTAGGGACAGAAGCAGCTTCATGGCTGGGTTTACTATCACTGCTGGCTGAAGAACACGAGGTGTGCCGAGGCTTTGGGACTGGGATCCCAGTTGCAAGCTGGTTCATGCTGCAGGACTTCTCCAGGATTCCATTATAAACTTTGCTTGCAGGACTAAAGATCATGCTCTTAGTTTCTGCCATGCCTACACAGTCAGGAGAGCCCCTAGAAATATCTGCAGTTAGAGAAGAGGAGTCTCCTGTAGATGATTCCTCCAACGAGAATTCTTCTGGGGATACTTTCTGAGGAGAAAGTGTCTGGTACATCTCAAGACTTGCTGGAGGAGACTGCTTCCTTCCAGTGGATGAATTTAAGGAGTCACATTCTGAACCTGTTTCCTGTACTTCCCTGAGTCAGAGCAAAGAGAGGAGAAAGCATAATGAAATTACTATTTCCTTCATGCAGTTAAAAAGGAAGTTAATTTAGAATCAATAACATTAGTCTAAAAGTACCACCCACGCTTTTCCTTAGGAGTTAATTAACAAAAAACATTGAGTTAAACATTTTAACTTACAACTTGCATTACATCATTTTATTATCTAAACTTAAGATAATTAATCTGTGCAATCTTGTTTTTGTGGACAGCAGCATCTGCCCAGAATCAGTCATTTGTATCTCACTTCAAAGAACAAAAACTATCTTTCTGGCACGTGAAGTCAGAAAAGTTATGAAATGAAAGAAGGAGATTTAAGCCTATCATATATAAAAAGTTTCTTCAGGACAAGTGTCCCTACCTTTCAACAAGCTCATTTGCTCCTTCCAAAAGGAATTTAACCTTTTCCTATGAGGCCATGTAACAAGAGTAGGTACACGCTCAACATGCTGTAAGAATTGTGTTACCATCCATCTTCTCTTCGCCCAGTAGCTGACATTGCTTTTGATCCTAGTTTCAGATGTAAAAGCCAGTAACATATTGTAATGGAGAATCAGGGTTAGTTCAGTGCACCCTGGATTGTAACATTACTTAACTGTATATGACATGCTAGCTATTTACATACACATACCAGACAAGAATTCTCTCTGTTCCACGTGGACTATATTAATTTATATTATCCTACAGATTACTTTAACTTTTGGCTTGGTTCAACCTCTAACTCTAAACTGTTAGTCTCAAATAATCCTATCAGAGTTCCAAGTGCTGTTTGCTAATCTCCGTACCATTGTTTATCAGCAGAGAAGTAAATGGCTTCCTCCTCCTCTTCAGTTCGATAAAGAGCTGGGCAGCTCGACACAGAAAGGATGTCAGGGTCAGGGGAGTGCAAAGCATGCTGAGACTGTGGAGATGATGGCACAACATTGCGTCTTGATCGACACAAACTACTGCTTCTTGCCAGTGTGCTGGGAGGTTTTACAATGGACCCTGAGGCAAAGAAAAAGCAAACCAAAACCCTCCAAGTGACATTGATGTTAACAATATCTACTCTGAAGACTAAATAGCAGGTATCTGCTTCAGCCACAGTGATTCTTAAACAACTTTGACATTGCTCAACTGTTTAGAGGGAAGAAAGACTGGCATCACCTTATATATTCTACAGTTAGATGAAGCAGCTAACCAAGATGCAACTGCAGCAGTTTTATACCTGCCAAATATTACTCTGACCATGTGCAAAGCTCTGGCTCACTATGCTCTCTTGAGAACAAAGAGAAAGATTCTACTGAAACTCCCAAACTATAAACTAAAAATAGCAGTGCTGAAATTAGTATGTTACGCAATATCCTGTATTTTACTTGTGTGGCAATTTGGAGCTTAAAAGAATACATAAAAGTTTTGCAATGTAGGTATACCTAACCAAACAGCCAACTGAAATGCACTGCATTAGTTGAAAGTTACATTAGACATGGAAGACCAATTTCATTTATATAACATGATAGAAAAAATATAATTCAACCTCATTTTAAACTCAGAAATTTCCTATTTGATAACACCTTCATTTGCCAGGCTAACTATGAATTTCCGGAAACAAAAATACTAAGAATGGGTGGAGACAGAAACACAAGACTTGACCAGGAAAGTATCTAACAGGAAGTGACAAACTACTAAAATGTTACTAATCCAATTCCTCCTTCAAAAGATGATTAGGCAGCAATACTTCTATGGAAATAAATCTACAGACCTGTTTTCAGGCCAGCTGTTACAAGCCTCAGGATTTCTCATATCCCTCTTCAAACTGTCCCACAGAATGCATCACTGCTTAGGTAAGACACGCCATACCCTTACTGATGTTCAAAAACTATTACTTTTGTAGACAAGGACGTCTAACCTGACAAAATGCATTTTATTTTTTGAGATGCCAGTTTAGAATCAGGTGAATTACAGTTTTCCTTCCTGGAATCTCAGAAAAGTTTGGAGTTGTCATTCCACTTTTAGTGCAGGAAATCACAACTTTTACAAAACAGCAAGTAGCTGCACCTTCACCAACACTTAGACTTTGTTTCCTGCCGGGCTGAGCAGAAAAGAAAGGTTTACAAGTCCCAACATGACAGTTGTCACATAACTCAAACTTTTAATTTTACTCTTGATGCACTCCTTACGGACCTGAAATGCAGGTGTTGGCAGCTCAAAAATAAGCTGTGTCGTTACAAAAATATTCCTAAAAAAGCAAATGTGAACTGAGATAAGAAAATAAGAATCCCTTTAGGAAATTTGTACTATTGTCCAGGTAAATCAGATGCCATCCTACTCGCTGGTATAAAAAAGAACAAAATTGCACCATCAGTGAATTTAGAGAGAAGTTACAAGCATTTTGGTTCCTTGTAGGTGTATATGCACAGGATTATGAAGGATTCAGCTATGACAACTTAACATCTAGAATTTTCTAGTACAAATGAAACTCACTAAATCAAGGAATCAGCTGAATCCTAATCAGTCAACGGAAAAGTAGAAGTTTTACTATCACCTTCCTGTAATGACTTGGATCCAGTCTCGTACATCTATTTCTTTATCCCCTTTTGTTCTTCAGCTCAGGATTGATTAAACAGGATTGATTAATCTATTGCTTCACCCCATTTTAGCCTATCGTCCCAACTGCTGCGGCACAAAGAAGCCTGCCTGTCAGGCTTCAAATTTTGTCAATCTTAAGGGATCAAAGGATGCTGGGGCAAGGTAACAGCCCAGAGAGTTCAGTTTAGGTCCAGACACTGAAACAGTCTTGCTCATAACTGACCTGTGTGCACACTGCATTTTCCCTGAAGCCTCATGAGTGAGACAAGCCATTTTGCTTCTGTCCTTCCTCGTGTGCATTTGTCATTTTTGTCTAAAGGATGGGAATAATTTAGCAGTTACCAAACTAACCTACAATAATTTGATTCCTGAACTGGTTTCAACAACAGATCATTTAGCATATTTTCCCTCTCTTTCCCCACTCCCAAGTGTTTCTATTTTTTTTTTTTACTGAGTAGAAATTTTAAAAGCTAGTAAATTAAGGAGAATCTACTTCCCTCATGTGATCACTTTAACAAAATCAGGCTCTCATGCCTTACTAAAATTCAGAAAAACACATTTAAAGTTTCTGTAATGTTACTAAGATTCAGGTGACTTTCATCACTGACTGAGACAACATCCATTAGCTAAATATTTCCAAATTAACTGAACTTTAACAAAAAAATTAAACCATAATTGCAAAAGCATACAGTAAAGTTTCAACTAAGTATGCTCTTACAAACCGTACAGTCCTTCTCTAATCGTAGTTCCTCTGAACCAACTGCACTTTGCTCTCTGGCTTCACTTCGATGAAAGACCTGAATGAGAAGAATGACTAAAAAAAATCACAAGTCTGAAGTCTTATATACATATCTAAGTGCTTTGTCATTTAAGACCATCTGGAAAGTCGTGATAATAAATGGAGCTCTTCATTTTGAAATCAGACCACATGTTTCTCCATATAGACTTCAAAGTTTAATTCTAGGCATCCATATTTTACTGGACCATCCAAGAAATTTGTGCTAAGGTTTAAATCAAAGCCTTCACAGTGAAGATGACTAGTGAGACAGTATTCTTTAAAAGTGATCAGAACTTGCAGTAAAGTAGTGTTGCAAGTGGATTAATGAACTTTTCAATGTGGCCTGTAGAAAAAAGGTTGGTACATTCAGAAGAAAAACGTGTGTCCAAGGCATACTAAACGAAGCCAGCAAAGTGGCAACTATTCTCCTTATGCTATTTTAAAATACAGTTCTAATTTCTTCTGAGAAGAAGAAATGTGCTTGTTTGAATAGCTACATGGGAGCTCATTTTTTTGATTTGCCTCTAGAGTCCAGTTAATCACAACTTCCATGAAACAAGCTCTTGTATTAACGCAATGACTCAAGATCTGAGGGTGGTCTAAATCCCCAGTGTATATCTTTTAATCATAGTTTAACCAAAGCTGGATTTCCCTCCCTCCAGCACTTGGCCTCTCTGCCTCACACTCAAACAACCCGCTGTATCCAAACACAAACATTCTGCCTGAAAGCTTCCCTTGGACAACACCACGATTTTGTTGCAGCCACTAAAGAATGTTTGAAAAGCTATGTAGCATGCGGCCTCTCAAAGGGTGTGATCTTCCTAGTAGCTCAAGGGACCCTAGACTAACTCCATCCCTTCCATCCGAAAGAATAAATGTGCTAACAGAAATTCAGCATTACTCATTATAAATTTTTGTCTAAGTGGCAAACCAAGCCTGACAAGCAGACTTTCAAAACCTTAGCTGGACTCGCGCCCCACTCCCTCACTGAAAGGGAATAAAGGCTTTTTCTTCATGTTATCTTTATTGCAAAACCCAGTTTTCAGTTTATGCAAGTCCCAAAAGATGCATCTGAAATGCTAGATAGAATTTTGGTCCTTTTGACTTTGATCCAATCCTGTTTGATTTCACCACTCTTCTCCCACCTGACTTTAAAATCCCATGCCTCCACAACTTTCCCCCTTTTTTTTTTTTAATGGAGCTCACCACTTACCATGAAACTGTGAAACTATTGGAGGAGTATCTTCATCTAAGTCATCAACTCCCCCTGCAATTGGGTAAGGAGGAATGGAAACTCGAGGCATAACTACCCAGCTGTGATCAGAGTAGAGAGAGGAGGTCAAGCTTGGTAGTCCAGAATTGTGTGCTATTTGAAAACCACAAATCTTCTCAATCTGTTGCCATCGATAAAGACGCTCTCGCAAACATGTCGTCAACTCAGAGAGTGCTTTCCTGAAGAAAAGCACACATGAAAAATACATAGGCTGTTCTTAATGACAAAGCAAAGCAACACAAGCACAGTCATTCTAGCATATCAGAAGATCCATTAGGACTGTCCAAATATTTGCACTTAAATACCTTTTAAACCGTTTTACTTAGAAATGCAAAACCACTAAGACACTAAATTTCGTAACTCCCCAAAAATTCCATTGTTCCAGGAGTAAATAATCACAAAAGAATATGCATGCTGGTAATACTCTTACTTTGCTTCAAGGATTTTATGGTCCACTTCATCCAGGGAGGAGCTGTGTGCAACATGTAATGTTCCAAATACAGTGCTTCTCTTCTTTTTTATCTTTTCTGCCTAAAAGGCAAGATAAAATGAAATGCATAAAACTAGAAGTTATATACTTAACAGAGATGACAAAACATTAGCAATATTGACAGGTAGCAAACAACAACTCAGAGGAGAAAACAAATATCCAAACACTTATATGAAATAGTAAATACAAATTATTCAGATATCTACAACAGACCAGAAAAGTCTTTAAGCAGCTGAAGAGTAAGAGTTAGTACCTCATCTTTGGCGATTGCTAATTGCATTTCTGCATGCTGTCTTTTGATATTGTAATATTGTACTTCAACTTCATGTGTTAACTGAAGCCACTTCTGCAAAGCTTCAGGAACAGACCAATTACTTCTCAGCTCAAACTCCTTCTCAGCCTTTTTTAAAGCCATGCGAACCTAGCAATCAAAAAGAAATAAAAGTGTCACCAAGAGCATCATTAGAACTGACAGCAGAAGAAAGTGAAATATAAGCACCTTTATACCCCACAGCAACATACTAATGCTTCACAGAGCTTTGGTGCGTGCCAATTGCTGTCAGGAAGGCAGATCAGGCATTTCTGAAATATAGCATATGAATTTCCATATACTATATTATACTCAGATTTTTTTTTCTCTATGATATATAGTCCCTAACTTGAAGCTTAAATATTTTTGTAAGACAGCATTTTTATTTAGTACAATAAATCCAATCTATTGCTACTCAGAAGAGTACAAAGCTACTATCTCTCATCTGATAACAAGACAGAAAATCACGCTTTTGTATATATTTTGTTCCATGAATCCAACAACATTATGATAAGCTAATATACAAAGTATATGTCTTTTTATAGTTTCAGGATTATTTTACTAGATAATGGCATGATTGACAGACAATCATTAAGTGCTCTTAGAATTTTTCCACTCGAATGGAAAATTGATTCTATTGGTCTCTTCTCCCAAGTAACTAGCAATACGATGAGAGGAAATGGCCTCAAGTTGCACCAAGGGAGGTTTAGATTGGACATTAGGAAAAGTTTCTTTATTGAAAGAGTGGTCAAGCATTGGAACAGGCTGCCCAGGGAAGTGGTTGAGTCACCATGCCTGGAAGTCTTTAAAAGACATGTAGATGTAGCGCTTAGGGACATGGTTTAGTGGGCATGGTGGTTTTAGGTTGATGGTTGGACCCGATGATCTTAGAAGTCTTCTCCAACCTCAATGATTCTATGAAATCTAGCATTAGAGAAATGCTGCTTTAAACACTCCTAAGCATCTAATAAAACCAGAACCAATTTAAAGTCAACACTAAAATTATAAACAGTTTGCAGATACCTGTACTAGCTCTTCCTCTGCATATTTAAGCCTGCTGAGCTCACATTCGGCTCCCTCCCTCAACTCCCTTAGGCGATGAGCTTCCCGTTTTGCATCATTGATCTCATCCATCATTTTGCGCTCCAGATTTTGCTTTTCCACAGCAACATTTCTATTCTCTTCTTGTGCCTTCTCAAGCCTTCACAATTGAACAAAAAATATGAGAAAATACACAGCATATTTGTTAAAAGTTGCAGTCCTCAGGAGAAGAAAATGTGTCCAGCAACAGGGCAAGAGGCAATGGGCACAAACCAAAACACAAGAGGTTCTATCTGAACATCAGGAAACACTTTTTCACTGTGAAGGTGACTGAGCACTGACACAGGTTGCCCAGGGAGGTGGTAGAGTCTCCAACTTTGGACATAATCAGAAGCTGCCTAGACATGGTCCTGGGCAACCTGTTCTAGATGATCCTGCTTGAGGCAGGTGGGGCTGGACAAGATGACCTCCAGAAGTCCCTTCCAACCTCAACCATTCTGTGATAATAAAGACTATGCAAACTTCATGAACCAGCAGCAATTACATCACACAATGTGACGTCCACGACAGACATGTGTGAACATCATGCGAACTTTTAGGTGAACCTTCATTAAAGGTGTAGTAAGATCAAAATACAAATCTTTACAGACAATTGAGTTACAGGTGCACCACACTGCTAAATAAGCAATAGAAAGTGATCAGTCCAGATCTGTTTCAATCTTAAGAGCTTAAAAACAGAAGAAATGTTTTCATTTCCATGTATGTAAGTATTCCAAAGTAAACTGTAATTGTATGAAAATAAAAGTACATACTTCTAATCTGTAGGTAAAAAAGATTGAAACTCTATTCTCCACCTTCATCCCCAAGTTCATATTGCCTGCTAAAATACCCAGAAGCAATTTCTACCCAAAAACCCATCGTCACTGAAATCACAATTTCCATGAAAAACGAAGATGAACAAAATCCAAAGGCAGCTTAATGCAAATAATTTATGACTGTAAAGGTTCTGTATTTGTATCTAATCTCAAAACAAAAGGACAACTAACCATTAACTTTTTTTAGTTTTTATACCTTTCCTGCAAGTCAAGAAGACTTTGCTCTGCTGTTTGGAGACTTTCTAAGTCCTTCATCATTTTTGTGATATGTTCTCTTGAGGTTCTGTTCTGTGTATATGCAAACCAGCAGCCTCCAAAACCAATAACTATAGAAACTGTTAATATAAAATCCTTCATCCAGTTGTGAGGGGGACCTGTGCAGAGAATAACATGATCATTAACTAGTTCATTGATATAGACAACAGACTATGGACTTCTTTTCTCCCCACAGCCTAAAAGGTGTCAGAACCTGATGCTAAACAGAATTCCAGCTCATTTACCTCAAACCGTCTCCAGCAACTACCTTTCAAATGGACTCCAGAGCATTTTCCATACAACATTGTGCTGGTTTTGGCTGGGATAGAGTTAATTTTCTTCACAGTAGCTCTATGAGGCTATGTTTTGGATTTGTGCTGGAAACAGTGTTGGCAATACAGGGGTGTTTTCATTATTGCTGAGCAGTGCTTACACAGAGTCAAGGCCTTTTCTGCTTCTCACACAGCCCCACCAGCGAGTAGGCTGGGGGTGCACAAGAAGTTGCGAGGGGACACAGCTGGGACAGCTAACCCCAACTGACTAAAGGGATATTCCACACCATATACTAAAATTTCTACATAATCTTACACACAAAAGTGAACCTTTGTCCTGACCCCAGCATCTTAATAACCTTTTTTAATTCACTGCCCAGTTCCACAACACATGCCAAGCAATCCATCAGTACTTTCACAAAACAGATAAGCTGTCCCACCTACAGTATCAAGTGTCACTGAAAGTATTCTCTGTTGAATTCTTACAAATAAGAGATAAGAAAAAACTCCAAAAAGTTTGGCATTACTAACGTGTGAGAGGTCCAAATAAAACAACGTCCAAGGCTTTAAGCTGAAGCTTCTGTCTATGGCTCCGGTCAATTATTTTCAAGTGAGAGATCATGAAAGCATGTTCATTTACTGCTATTCTGTTAATGGTAAGACAAAACGTTACCTATTGCACAAGCTACATTCAAAACCAGTCTATGGAAAGAAATACATAAATAGAATTTCCCACAGTTATATAGATTATAGTTATGCAATTAGAGCGAGAGATATAATACAATGACAGTAGTGCTATAAAAAAAAGCATATCGGCATGTGGCAAAGGAAAAACATCAAATCATTTCCCTATTCTTTCCTTTCTGGAATAATCACAAAATAAATCCATTTAGCATAGTTGAAGGTAATGATATATTTGCAGACTTGTGACACCAACTCTGAAATAGATGCAATACTCAAATTTAGTAGTTATTCTCAAGAAAAGGGGTTCTGCAGACAGTTTTTGATGTACAATAGATTGGAAGTTGTTCAAAAGAAAGTTCGCTACCATACAGAATTATGTGATCATTGATAAAAGCTTTAATAGCAAGAAAGAAAACTAAGATGAAAGGAGTGGCAAGAAGCATTTATATTTTGAAATATTTTGGCAGAAAAAAAATGCAGCTAGCTCTTCAAAACTGCAAGGACGCTTCTCTTTTCTTGCATTTGACCATATCTTGTTAGACTTCAGGTTCACATAGTTGTTCCTACATAGTAGCAACCTACATGGAATTATTTGAAACTAATCGAGAAGAAATGTTCACCTGGGAAGTGTTGTTCCATTGACATTGCTGTCTCTAAAATTCTTTTCATATTGGGGCAGTTCAACAAATTCTGACAGCCACTGAAGAGTATCCTCTTGAGTCCAGTTATGAACTGGAAGGAAAAAAATCAGTTTAATTACCTTTAATTTTTGTAAAAATCAATCGCAAGACATATGAGACAAGCAGTAGAAAAGCAGGTTACAGTGAGCAAGAGGGTTTAGCCAAATATAATTGCAGGAAAATTAGCATTAACATTCACCAACATTCATTCATTCTGTCATTTTGCCTTTTTCATTATATGCTTCTCAGAGGAAGCTTAGGCAAACTATAAACAAACAAGCATGGAACCAATAGACACATTTCTTTATTAAAAATTCCACATAATAATTTAATGGTTTGCTTTAGTTTAAATCAGGACAGCATCTTGTGACTTTTATCTACTTAAACTGATTTCAGTCTCAATACTTTTGTCCTTGCTATCCTTGCAGAACTAAACACGTCAGCAGGTGCTGTAGCCATTTAAGGCAATGTACCAAGATCTTTCCCAGGATGATGGCTTAAGAACTTGTTTTCACAAGAATCTTCATATAGGTTCATGCCTACTAACCACAAAATGGGAGCAGAGAAGAGAGGAAGAGAGGAGATGGAAAGAAAATACCAAAAGCAGAAATTTAACAGGAAAACACTTAAATCTCTCTCAAATATGCCCAAAACAGCTGTATTACATGCAATAATATTCCCACTAAGAAAAATTATTTAAATATGTAGAGAATAATTAACAATTTTCCTGTATAACAGCAACAGTCTACATAACCTTCCATAGCTACAGATGCTCTAAGAAAATAAGGAAATACTACCCATAGATTTTATCAAAAAAAACCCCAAACAAACCATCACATTTCTGGCGCTTACAGGCCAGCTGCTACAGCTTATAGCTTCACACTGACAAAGTTGAAGGGAAACTGTTCTCTCCATTTATGAAGTCTGCAGAAGTGTGTCTGCATATGAAAGAAAAAGTGACAGCATCCTTCTGGACAGACATAGCTTTGCATGAACAAATATCTTGTTCTTTAACCATTGCTCTCTCTAAAACTACTTGCATGTGACAATGCTGGGCAGAGATTTCTTTAGAAACCTTATTACAAGGACACATCCTCAGTGGTGAATTTTGACAACAATCCTTTAGAAAGAGCTGCTGAAAGCTTGACAGGTAAGCTGCAGGCAACAGAAATTTTTATGAGTTCAAATCCATATTTTATTTTCACTGAAATTGAAATAAGGACTTCTAGGTCTCTTGCCTACACTCAGCGTAGATGAAAAATAAGCTTAAACATTTCAGATTTTAATTATTCCAGATAACCAGAGACAGAACACATTTCACAGACCCACTTATATTTTTAAAAAACAGATCCGCAATACAAACCACTTGTATTCTATCTCTACGAATGGCTACACCTTCTTCCCAGCATGCTTTTGAGCCATTTCTTCCTCTGCTTTTGAGCCACAAACTGTTTTCCAGGTATTGATCTTGCAACAGACTCAGTTTTGTCATATTACTCTAAGCTTTTATGCAAAATGTCTGGGCTCTATTTGTAAACAGATTTTCAAATTGCAAAGATTCTTAACCATTTTGTGAACAATAAGTGATTAGATTTACAAGTCACTCTAAGCATCTCAAAAGGGTGGTAAGATCATCCAGAAAAATATCACCGTAACTGCATTCCGGAAATATGTTCATAAACTGATCCAAAGCAAAAGCATTGTTTTGATGTGACATCGGAAAAAAAAAAATCACCTAAAATAGCTACTACACACTACAGACTTTACCACCGACAGTATAAAACACGCAATTTTGGAAGCCACACAATTCACTGAGTTTATAAATTGAGGGGGAGAAAAAAAAAGAAAAAATAATATCGAGAAATTTCACTTCTACTGCTGAAAGTATTTTGTAGTCACTTTTTTCAAAATTTACGTAAATTTGTACTTTTTTATAATTCATTAGTAATTTTAAACATATTATCATGTAAGAAATAAGGTACATATTGAAGTTGTTTACAGTAGAGTCAATCACATCTGTTCTATTGCTTAGACTAGTGTGATGTTTCCTTCATAGAATATCAAGGAAATTTCCCCAAACAAACCAGTTATATTTAGGAAAAACACTTTACTATTCATTATCTATCACTGTATCAGATATCTCCATTAGTACAGAAACTGGGAAAAGAAGCAACCGAAGTCTATCCTGAACTAGAATCAGAACTTGTACTTTCTGTATTCTTCTTACACTGTTACCTGTTTACATAAAAGTTAATATCAATTACTTTTTGGTATATGTATATTTGTATATACCATAATATATATATATATTTGTGTGTGTGTGTGTGT